CCTTTGCCCACCTTGAAGTGTTACCAATAAAGCCACTTCCTCTTTTAAAAAATGCGCTCCAAACAAACAGCACTGCAATAACAAATTCGCACGCGTTTAGTTATAGGTTACAAAAGGAGACCGTAATTTGTTTGATTTTCATAGAGGTACTCGTTCTGAAGATGCACCGAAGACCTTGCGATGATGCCTGGGTTGTTTCTTAAGTTTGAAAAGAAAAACTTATGGATAACCTATTAACATAACACACATATAACCTTAGTTTATTGATCACTTTTTGTTGCTCCCACAGTGTTGCTAGTTCAACAATACAAAGTTACCTCAAAAACAACTCTCTTCAACGGTAAGTTTCGAACCCAAAATTACATTTTCTTGGTTAATCACATCTACACCATACCATTTTTCTATTGCAGGGTCGATAAGCTCAGTCATGTGAAAATCGCCATGGTGTTCTCGAGCAAATTGTTTGAAATTTTTGTAAACATCCGATTTACGTGTAGACGCAAAGAACATAATCACCAAAGGCCTTGCCTCGTCGAATCCTAAAACATCAAGATGTATAGCATAAAGTAATAGTTTACTAAGTACATAGGTCAGCCGAAAAAATAGTAAACTAATTATGCTAACATCCATTAGACCTCGTTTAGAGATGTAATTCAAATTCAACTGGTGTGGGATGTGTTCCGTAACCAAAAAATGTTTCAGCTAGAGGCATAGCAAGCCGAAATATCAGGTAAAGATCGCCGAAGAATTGTTCAAATTAACTTTTTATGCTCAATTAACACATGTCTTTACAATTCATCCCTTCAAAGAGTTAAATCGTCCCAAGCGAATCATGAATATGAATAGTACATGCCTGACCTGGTATAGCGCCTTCTCTATAGTAGGGGACAGCATCCTCTGTTAGCTTTGTGACTATTGGTTGCTGAATCCTATAAAAATAATTCTGAAATACTTACAAAAATAAATTATTGACTAGGGTGCCTACGTCTTAATCCAGTCTTGAATTGAAATTGCGTCAATTCTATGTGGATAACGTTTATACTCCTTGCCTTTTTCGTAAGCTATAACTGTCGGCATGGCAGTGACGGATTCTCGCTGGCAGATCATTTTCTTGAAAAAAACGATGGAAATAATTAAGTATGTATAGAACTTTAATGGTCTTTGATTTAAGTTTATACCTGCTTAGAGCAATCTACCACGACACCATTGTCTGATCGGGTGGAGAAGACTTCTCCAAAAGCATAGTAAGCAGCAAAATTTGCATAACCCTCTGCAATAAACGTATTATTTCATCAAAATTTACATCTTCTTATGAATTGTCGATATACCTGGTTCATAATAGAGCACGAAAGTTATCTGGTTATTGCTTTTTTGTATAAGTTTTTCTACTTGCTCAGCATTTTTCGCCGCTGGTGCCGTCAGCTGATATTTCCACCACTCCACACCTTTGGTAAAAGTTAGTATAAATCAATTTATCCAAGACTCGATACTCTAGCTACTTACTGTTGCGTTCTTCGGAGCGATGAAGATAGATCTTACTAGCGAATTGAATAAATAACCTGTAGGAAAATAATAATATGGAGAGATTCATGAACACAGCCTTGATTAGATGAAACCTGCTCTCCGCAGTTCATTGAAAACCTCACAGTGAACAGCAGATAGTTGAAAGTAACCAACATTGTAATTTGAAGTAATCAAAAGTGATCAGTTAGTCAAAAGTTGAAAGTTAACAGAACGTTC